AATTCTCAAATGATCTCAGCACCATTAACAATATATCAATGATTTCGTTTCTGTTTGTCCTTTTAAAAATTCATTGTATTAAAATGAAAAAAAAGATAACTTATCCTATCAATGTGTATGTGTGGTGTCCGTGCGTGTGTCTGTGTGTGTGTGTCTGTGTGTGTGTATGTGTGTGTGTGTGTGTGTGTGTGAGCCCGTGTGTGTATGTGTGTATCTGTATGTGCGCACATCAATGACAAACCCGCCATTTTTTCATTTGCAACAATCGGTTTCATCATCATCTTCCTCTCCATTACCATCATCATCAGCATCAGCATCAACAATCAGCATCTTCATCATTATCATCATTATCATCATCATCATCATCATCATCATCATCACCATCACGTCATTGTAATTGTTTCTGAGGAAGATTTGAAATTGAAGGTTATCATCGAAAGACAAATAAGATTTTTTTTTTGACAATCAATGTAAACTTATTGCTACCATCATTTTAAATTCCTTCTAGTTTCTCTTTTCCTGATTGATTAAAAATTAACTCTGAAAGATTTATTCATTTGAAAAAAAAAACGAAAAATTTTCATTTTCGAAAACTATTAATATATTTAAATTAATATATTTTCAATTCCATTGTATATTTTAGTTTTTATACTTTTGTTATAACTTTTTTATTTCCTATAACAAAATAATTTTTTTTTGTAGAAATGATAAATAATTCGAAGAATTAGTAAATTAGAATTTGAATTTCAAAAAAAAAAAAGAAAAGAAATTGGGAATTGGATCGCACTTTTTTTTTTTTTTTTTTAATATATCCATTCATTTAGCTTATCAATAATATTTGAAATCAGATGAATTAATTGATAAATTATTTCACTCTCTTATAAATATGAATTGAAAAGCATAAAAGCGCTTTTGACAACAATGGGAAAAATAATTTTTCCGCCCAAAAAAAAAAAAGAAAAAATAAATATTATTTTATGAATTTATTTTTCACTCCTTTTAACATATTTACAAAGGAAAAATATATTTATATAAAAATCTTTAATGAAAAAATTTAAAATTTTAATCATAATTTATTAGTATCAATCATTAAAATATTATCATAATATTATAATTTATTATAATATATTTCATATGAATTCACAAAATTATATCCATTCATTAGCTTATCAATATATCATCATTATCAGGGAATTATTCATACATCATTATCATCATGATAAATTATAATTTTAAGAAAAATTAAAATGAACCTTATCATTATCCAGCAATATATGATATGATATGATATGAATAAGTGAACTAATTGATTAATTAGTTCGATAAATAAATAAGCAATATAATGCATGATATTTTTATTACAAAATAAAAAAAAATAATGTAATATGATGGATTTCAGGTGGAATACTTTTTTTCCTGAATTATTATTTCAATAGAATTGTATCAAAAATATAAATATTAATTAATTAATTTTACAACAAAAATAGATTATATATATATATATTGCTTAATAAATTATAATTTTAACAGAATTGAAATGAATCGTATCAGTTATTTAGTAATATATAATATAATATGAATAAATGAATTAATTGATTAATTAATTTAAAAAATTAAGTAAATAATATATAATATTTTTATAATAATATAAAAAATAAGATAATATAACAAATTTTAGACCGAATGCTTTTTTTTTTCTTTCAAATTATTATTTTAATTGAATTTAAATGAGTGGTTGTATGGATGAATGATAGTTGTAGTTTGTATCATAGCAATATGGTAATAGTGGTAGTAGTAATAGTAGTAGTAGTAGTATGGGGGTAACAATGGTTGTTCAATGTTGTGTCATTTATTAGAGCTAAATGAACAAATCGATTTTTTAAATTGTAGTTTGTCACCAAAAAAAAAAAATTTTTTTTTTTCTTCCTTCACTTTTCTATTTTATTCTCTATTTCTATCGCATATTTTTATTTCATTT